GCTGAGAGCCCTAAGGGGTGTTCTTTATCTATCCCTTCCCCAGGCCCTATCTCCTACCTAACATTTCTGRTCAATTCTCTCTTGCAAAAACTACTAATGTGGATTTATGGGTCCTCAGCTTTTATCTTATCTTCCTGCATTCATACAATAATTTAAAGTATACAATGCACTTTCTCTTTGCAYAGGTCATTAATGTGTTGAGTCACTATCTTTCATTGACCTCCTTCCTCTATGAATAGAACTTTCATTTCTCTTGGGGGTGTTTTTTTCATTAAATATTTTCAGCTACTTATAGTTGGAAATGATGCCACACTCAGTTATGGGGTAGAAGTTATGTAAATTACAAATTAGGTAGTATGTCCTACCCCATTCACAGTCACAGTGTCTGGTTCATGGATGAACACATAATCTCAACATAGTGAAGAATAGGAATATTTGGATTAGCTTTTGTAAATGAAAACYCTTTTCCCTCAGGATGAATTGTACATTTTCCACTGGACTTGGTCAAAGAGGATGTATCCGTAAGTTTTGTTGACAGCCTTGTTGCCACTAGGAGAAATCTTTGGAATGGAACCCACTCTAGGAAAGCAAAGATTAGAAATAGAGAAAAGGAACTCAGGTCCTGGCCACATTACCTGAGCTTTGGATAAAGCCACACCTGCAGACAATTTATACCTACACTTTGCTGTGATTGAGCCAATGGTCTCATTGAGTGATTGAGTGGGTTGAGGCTGAATCCTGAGTACCCTGGTTCTTATATAGACCTRTGAGGTTAATAACATTATCTTTATTTTACCCTCCTCCCCCACCAAATAGAGCCAGAGCAGTTATATGAATTGCTCACAATCATAAAGCTAGCCCTGATGTTTTAACTTCAAGTTAAAAAGCTCCACTTATAAAAAAATCTCTGAAAGGACCCCTGCCCCAATTTTGGTGTTCCATACATATTCTTACCAGAAATTATAAAAATTTTGATGATGATGACGATGACACTGAGGCTTTTCACAAAGTAACTTCAGTTTCCTGGGCTTGACACATTTGRTATCATTGTATAAGCTGTCCACCCAACAAATCGGATCCTCTGTCTAGATCACCATGTCCTTGCTCCCACCCACAGCCTTTCCTCCCTTTTCCCTTCTCCCTGGTGCCTATTTACTAACGTTCATTCAATCACTAGTTTCATTTTCTTAATGAGGGAGGTTATGATGAAATTGGGTCTCTTGTGTGAAGACATGTTTATTTTTCCCTATAAAAATCTGGAGGAGTGGTTTCCATGTTTGTGCAGCCAAGCAAGCTTCATTATCTGCATAAAGGAAAGTCTGTATAAATGAAGTATAACATTCTCCAGGGAAAGTTTTTCCCAGGACATACATTCAGTGCCATGAAGTGTTATAACATCAATGCAACAAATCACTAAATTGCATTTATGATAGTATTTCTAAACTAAAGAGGTAAAACAATTGATTAAATGGGATGAAATCATGAAAAATCAATAGGTAAGGAACCAAGATTCTGCTTGTTTACCTTTAGTGGGTTTACCATTTATAGATCCTCTTACTGATAATTGGAGTTACTTATCAAGTGATAACTCAATGTTCAGCTAAGAAGGTCAATTGMTCTACCTTTCATATTCACATAAAAGTTTGGATAATAATTAGAGCTGTAGGATAGTTTGCTTGCACAAATCATCAATTCATAGTGGAATATAACTGAGGGACAGGATGAGAGTGGTAAGACACAAGGAAAATCATGTAGAAAGATAAATCCTASAGGAGGGAGTTATTTGCCCAAGATTATAAAGAAAGTTGATGCTAGAGCCTATGGAACATGTCATTGAATTAGCTAAATTAGCATTTCCTTCATGGTAAAGGAAAAAGATGGAGCATTCAGGTTCATTTTTTTTTTAAAATCACTCTTGAAGACATTAATTTAGATTTGTTTCATAATTTCACCTTATCAGCCCCCTAAATAATGGTCTAAATTTTCTTATTTTACAAACTTATTTACTTTTATATGTGTGAAATTGAATGTATCATTTTGTCTATTAGAAATCAGACTTAAAGGTTGTTTTCCTACAGAGTTCATTTTACTTATTTTAGGAAATTATTTGACATCCCCACTATATTATTACAGACATTTGATTTTAATGTATCATCATGGTTGTACTCAATAAATCAATCTGTTTTTTACTCTGTTAATGTCCTAATGATCTACACTTAAGACATTTCATGTCTTCAGCTGATTGGTCCCTGGCTTCTTATATCCCACACTGTATTTCTTCAGGTTTTCAAAGCCTCACAAAAAGGTCAGTAGGCTTCCATGATATCATGAAATACCTTCTACCTAAGTGGCCAGACTTCCTTCCTAAACCTTTTTTCTCTACCTACTGGCTCTTCTTTTATGGTTTAGACCTGGAATCTCTCCTCTAAAGCTCACATGTTGAAAACCTGGTCCCCAAGGCAGCAAGATTCAGAGGTGTGGCTTTTAGGCAATGATCAAATCGTGGGGCTCTGACCTCATCAATAGATTAGTCCATTTGGTGGATTAATCCTTGATAGCTCAATAGACCACTGGAGATGAGACCTCATTAGAGGAAGCAGGTGGATGTACCCTGGAAAGATTTATCTTCTCCTCAGCCCCTTCCTCTCTTCCTGCATCCTGGCTGCCATGAGCTGAGCTGCTTTTCTGTATCATGCCCTTCTTCCAAGATGTTTCTGCCTTAGATGTGGCAAACCATGGACTGAATCCTCTAAAATTGTGAGCCAAGATAACTCTTTCCTCCTCTGAGTTGTTCTTGTCAGTTATTTTGCTCACAGTGATGGAAAGCTAACTCACCTTCTCTCCATGATAACGTGTGATGAAGCCTTTGTCTTCCATTCAGAATTAATTTTTCCTCATTTAAATTTCTAAAACAGTTATTATTACTCTGGTTTCCCTTAAATGCCAGCCTGAGAAGTGGACATTTAACTCTACCGATCAGGGGAGACCTGAAGTTTCCAGGGAGGAGAGTGAGATTATTTTGATGAGGCTATGAGGTACAGATTGTAGGAGAAGGTACAAAACATAGAAAGTCAGTTGGGGCTTTCTTAAAAGATGGGAGGAAGGGAAGGGAAGGGGAAGGAGACAGGGAGATTGGGCTTGACTTGCTGAGGCCCTGTGGGTGAAGAGAAGGCTGGGGACAGGAAGAGTTGATCTGGATGATAGCAGGAAGAATGGAGAGCTTTATTGAGAAAGGCCCTCTGGCTTTTCTTTCATGCATGCTGGGGATYAAACCCAGGACCTCATGCATGCTAGGATAATGCTCTACCATCTTCAGCCCCCAGAGTGGGGCTCTGGAAGAGCAGTAGATTGGGAGAATAATGGTGAGCTCAGTGTGGGAATGGCTGGTTCAAGAAGACTCAGGCATTATGTTTGCCTCCTAAGTGCTCATTCACTGCCATTCCATCCTCCCTTCAGCCTGACCCCTGTTTAATTGCAGCAGAGGCCCTGAAGCTGCATATTTTTTTAAGCAACAAATCAGAAATACTCATATTAGAACCAGAAAGCCTATTTAGGGTTATTTGGCTGCTTCCAGTCAGGCAGATGGAAACCTGCCTGAGGGAGAGGGAGAGATTCATCTTGGAGGTCATGGCAGAGACAGGACTGGCTCTCAACTCAGTAGTATTTCCAACCACACAAGGGCCCTCAAACATCTACAGAACCTGGCATTACATGTACGCTCTTTTTATTAATGCCTTTGATTTCTTTCAGGTATTATGTTCCTAAAGGCTAGAGTGTGGGTTTTCCAAATTTCAATATTTATTTCTCCATACATTCAATAAATATTGGCTTAGCCTCTATTATGTCACCTATTACCTGTTCTAGGCATTCTGAAGGCAGCAAGGATTAGAAGGAAGTTCTTGTCCTCCTGGAGCTTACTTCATTCTAGAAGGAAGATTTAGATACYAACATAAAAACTCAAATAAATATGTTTTATTTCAGTTGTTGGTGAGTGTTATGGTGAAAAATAAACCAGGGAGATGGGAATTAAGAGCTGCTATTGCATACAGTGTGGTCATGGAAGGCCTCACTATTCAGTTTATGGCACAAGTTTATATGTAAATGTACAGAGGCCCTCTGCAGTAGCTGCTAAATCAGTGTTCATTGAGTAGTAATGATTAATGAGCTTCCTAATATATGGGGGGGGGCTGTGGAGAGGGGAAGGTAGAGAGAAAAGGAAAGAGAGGGATTAAACCACAGGATCAGAATGATCCTAACTGATATTTTCTGTAGCTCTAAAAGCCACCTTCACCTTATGACATAATTATTGATAGGCTATAGAGAACTGACCTCTAAACTTTCTCACTGAGGCAAATGTCAATATTAGTAGCCAAGTCCAGACTGACTAAAAATCAATATCCTTAAAGCCATTTTACTTATGTTCACCTAAGAAAAGTGAATCTTCAATTCAACTCCTTTTGAATGTTTTTATATCTGGGTATATTATTTTTATTTTTCATGTTTAATAAGGTAATAAAAATGCATTTGAACTTTGGTATTTATAATAAATATTGACCAAAAAAGTGTTCAAAATTGGGATTATCATTAGTTTTATTTTTTTCTGCATTTATTGCTATTTGTCTAAYTTGAAATTCTATTTTAAAATGCACATATGATGATAAAATTAAAAAAGAACACAGATGCATACATGAATGTAATGGACAATGGATTCTAAATAATACAACATTCATACATGCTCTAAGAATAGATTTAATTTTTTGCTACTAAGCAAAAAAGTTGCCAGAGAATATCTGCTATTATTCTGTACATATTAAATAAGATTTCCGAGCTAAAATTCTTCGCTTCTTATTTTAAAGATTCACTGTTATGAGTTATTGACCATTCTTCAAAACTGCCAATCTGATGTTCTCTCAAAATGTGTGTGTGTCATTATATCTTCTGACACAAAGAACAGACTTGATTTCTCAACAACTGGACTGTGATCTCAATTTTCATTTACTATGTCTGCAAAAACAATATAGGGCTCTAGCAGTACAATGAGAAGACAAAATCAAAGCTCTGTGATTGAATTCATCCTCTTGGGCTTCTGTAACTTTCCTGAACTCCAAAAGCAGATCTTTGGGGTTTTCTTGGTCATTTATCTGGTGACCCTGATGGGAAATGTCATCATCATAGCTGCCATCTTGCTGGAGCAGACCCTCCACATCACCATGTACCTATTTCTGCAGAATTTATCTGTGGTGGAGGTGAGTTTCAGTGTAGCCATCATGCCTGAAATGCTGGTGGTTCTGACTACTGAGAGAACTATAATTTCTTTTGTGGCCTGTTTTGCACAGATGTATTTCATTCTATTTTTTGGTGTGACCAAATGTTTACTGCTAGGGGCAATGACTTATGACCGATTTGCTGCCATCCTTGGACCTACCCCATGATTATGAACAAGAGAGTGTTTGTGAAATTAGTCATGTTCTCATGGGTCTCAGGGATCATGGTGGCTACTSTGCAGACCWCATGGGTATTTAGTTTTCCCTTTTGTGGCCCCAATGAAATCAATCATCTGTTCTGTGAGACTCCCCCAGTGCTGGAACTGGTATGTGCAGATACCTTCTTGTTTGAAATCTATGCCTTCACAGGCACCATTTTGATTGTTTTGGTTCCTTTCTTGTTGATACTCTTTTCTTACTTTCGAATTCTCTTTGCCATCCTGAAGATACCATCAACAACTGGGAGGCAGAAGGCCTTTTCCACCTGTGCCTCTCATGTCACATCAGTCACCCTTTTCTATGGCACAGCCAGTATGACTTATTTACAGCCCAAATCCAGCTACTCACCAGCAACCAAGAAACTGAGGTCATTGGCTTATGCATTGCTCACACCTCTGCTGAATCCCCTTATCTACAGCCTTCGAAACCATGAGATGAAAAGGGCTTTGGTGAAATTATGGCCGAGAGTGGTGGTTTTACAGTCTGACTTGTTGAGAAGCCATGTGAGATTTGCTCATTCCCCAAGTGAACTCTATTTGAATTTAATAAATGATGATAACAKATTCCATTTCTTGATATTAGTGTGTTCACACTGTTGAATTTGTTGAGTTTGAAAATATATCAGGAGATCCTTCTCTTTTAATACTGTAGTCTTGTCATTTGTTCTTTTTTTAAAAATTTATTTATTTATTTTTAAATTATTATTATTTTTTTTAAAAGAGAGAGCCACATCCCCAGCCCCTTGTCATTTGTTCTTAAAAGATAAAGAAGTTTGCACAACACATGATACAACAGTCTATTCATGCCTTTCTCTATTATGGGCATCAAGGTTACTATCAGAGTATTGTGATTAAGATGATGCTTTAATAAATATCTAGTTCAATAGGTTTCTATGTATTGATGCTTTTATTTCTGTGTGATGGACTGATAGGATGGATAGGATGAGTAGTTTGGTGCTTATATATTTTAATAGCTATTATTTTAGGAGTACTAGGAAATGTAATAGGTTAATTTTCAAAATGATTATCACTACTTCAGTTTCACTTGAGGGCCTACTGATCCTCACTGACAGAGCTTCAAGAGACTAACATGGTGATGTGATTTTTATTTCTGGAGTAAAATTTGGTTCCAGAAAAGACTAAAAATATGTTTATTTTGGGGGGGTTAAATCTATATTTCTCTTGGTGCTTTTATGAATTTTTGTGTAATGTTGTTGATTAGAGAACTACATGGGAAGTTTCCTGAGTTCTCACCTGCCAGTGTTGGTATCATTTTCACTTACATCCTGTTTAAGAGACTTTCTTTGTATTACCATTTCAATTGCCCTCAGATATTTTGTTTATAACAAAAAATAATTCTTTTTTGAGGTTTATTGTGGGAAGCAAATATAATTGATTAATTGTGGCCCTTGTGCTCCATCACTAATTTTGTGACATATTCAGAATGCATAATTTCAAGGTTACAAAATTTGCAACATTTCATGCTTGCTTTCTGTTTCAATGTTTCTCTTAGAGAGTAGAGAGGGACCAGTTTATCATTTGTCATTTGTTCTTAAAAGATAAAGAAGTTTGCACAACACATGATACAACAGTCTATTCATGCCTTTCTCTATTATGGGCATCATATTTCTCTATTATGTTATCAAATCAGCTGTACTGCCCTTAATTTCTGCTTTAGGGATAGCAACAAAGGAGTAAAACACAATTCTTTTCCATGTTCTCACTCAGTTATGGGGAAAGCCATCTTTATTTACAAGTATTTCTGCCCAAAATTAAAAGTGGAGGTATAACATGAACTRGATTTTCACTAAAAGCAATTTCATCAGAAGGTTGAAACCAGTTTGAGTAATATTTGAATGTTGTATATTCCTTCCATCACAGCCTTCAGTAAGCATTATTAGCCAATTTGGTTTTTGGATTCTGTCCATTGGTGTCCTGAAATTTTCTCATTGCTCTTAAAGACATCAATGAAATGAGWCTATTAAGGAATAAAAAAAAWTTTTTTTGAAAGCTAAAAAGCCAAGAACAATGTACAACTTAAAATACACATCTTGGGCTGGGTGTAGCTCAATTGGTAGAGCATTTGCCTGGCATGTGTGAGGCCCTGACTTTGATCACTAGCACTGCAAAACAAAAATAAAATGAAAGATACATATTTATTATAATTTTTAGTTTTTAATTTTTATCATAAATCAATTCTGTTAGGAGTGGATTAATGTGAATGTCTCTGGGGAAATAGTCTTGGCCCTTGAGGAATTCCAAGTTTATTGGAAGATCACTTAACTTTGGATCACTGAATTTAAAACTTAGGAATTTCTCTGTTCTTGGTAAGAAATGGAATTTGAACTGGAACTCACATACATGATGACATCTGAAACATACTAAAGCACCAGTCTTCTTGCTTTACTTAATTCCCACCATTGCCCAAACTGTGCATTCTGTCAAGTTGAATCCTCCACCTGCTACCTGACTTTGCTCACACTTCCCCCAACTCCTCCCTTCTTTCCCTGTTTACAACATTCTTTCACCCTCTGATTTCACAAAACTCCTACTGGGAGACGTCACATTGGAGTTGAGTCTCATGTGTACAAGGCCTTCAATCCCTGTGKACACATGGAGGGCTGGCGCTCCATGTGTGTTCTCTTGAGCTTTCTTCCCTGCCCAGAACTGAATTCTTCAATTCTCTGTAGCTCTCATACAAAATATGAGAAGGTCTGTGGGAAGCATTCCAAGTTCTCTCTGGAGGGATTCTCTGGGGCACATGATTCTATGTCATAGGAGGTTAAAAATCAGTGCAGTGAACCACTGAATTGCATATACGAACAGGTGTCTTTTGATCAGTGGTGAGAGTGCTGTTGAAGTAGCAGGCAAATGAGAGTCAGAGTCAATGGGTAAGGCAATGCGGCTCCTTCTTGTGTACTTGTTAAAGGTTTTTTTTTGCTGCGAGTTCTCAGTGAGGGTTGATGACGCTGTTGAAGACATGCCTCAGGGATCAGTAGGCACAGCTGAAACATTTGAATCAGAAGATTTTTTGGTTTGATGCTTGTCTGTTTCTTTTTTGTTTGTTTTTCAGAGAAAACTGCAGACCATAGTACAGGCATAAGGACTTTGCATGCACTAATCATGAAATTCAGGGAACTTTGTCAATAAGTCCCACACTAACTATATATGATTGGCAGGCTGAAACCTAAGGAAAGAAGCAACCTGCTTAAGTCCTACTTGTTAGTCTTTTAATATAGAGAGAAAAGAGGGAACATTCATAATCAATTGTTCTTTACAACTATTCATAGTTTTCTTATTATTGTTGTTTTTGGTGTTATTTATTTTTAAAAACATATATATTTTTTTAAAATCAGAACATGTTAATTATACATACTTATAATATAATGTGACATTTTAAAACATGTATACAGGTGTGCAATAATCGTATGAGTGTAAGTGGCACTTCTATCACTTAAAACACCTATTAGAAAAAAAAACAAACAAACCAAGCCAAATCAAAAATCCACTTTATTTGTGTGTGTGTGTGTGTGTGTGTGTGTGTGTGTAAGATTCTAAATAATTTCTGCTAGGTATTTTGAGTTGTGCAATTAGTTACTGTCAACCATAGTTATCTTACTTTAAAGAAAAGATAATTTTATTCTGTTATGTGCTTTTAATCAGTTCTATAAAAGTTTCCTAAGGTTTTATAATAATCTAAATTATATAAATTTAAAAACCTGTCCATTTTTCTAATATTTGGACTTGATTACATGTTGTACATTCTTTTTGCTATTAGAAATAAGTCTTGAATATTTTGTACTGCAGAGTGTACTTTACTAACTTTAGGAGGATTTTTCATATCAAAAATATGTAAATAACTTGATTTGAATA